ATTAACTTGAATGATTTTTTTAAAGATAAGTTGCTTCCACCCTCTACCTGGCTGGTTTCTGGTCGTTCCTTTTGCTTCCTGCTTAACCTATTCTTGTGTACTGCTGTCTTAGATATTTTGAACCTGGAAGCAACCTGCCGCTCAGCGTGGCCTTCTGCCAGCAGAACCACAATTAATGCAGATATTTAAAAAAAATACAGTGGTCTCTTCATTTTTTCCACAGATCTGTGTGTGTGTGTGTGTGTTTCATGAAACAGTATGCTTACGTAAAAGGACCAGATGTACTGTATAATAAAACATATATAAATGAAGTAAACTAAAATAAAAGAAACATGAGAGCACTTCAAGTGCATACCTGTGTCCTTAACCAGCATTGTGCACCCACGCATCTCTGAAACGCGCCACTTAATTATCTTTTAATAATATGCCACAAGCTTTAAACATAGCTTTTGTTAGTCACAATGTCATTTTGCTGCCTTAAAATACCAACGCACTGACAATGCAGCCAGCCAAACCTCATTTAAAAAACACTACTCCTACAAGTGGGAAACGAGTGCAAAATCATTTGTTATTTTGAAAATGCACTTGGCAGTAAAATGAGGAATGCTCTGGTATGAAACTAGCAAAACCACTTTTTGCGTTGCACTTTCTGCCGATGCAAAATAGGGCCCAGTTTGTCAGCGTGCTCTGCATGGAGGAGCAGTAAAAGGTCACAGCAGCTTTTGACGTGCTGAAGCCCCCTCCTCCCTGCTTCAGGGCAGCTCCTGTACCACACTGTGATACAGTATGTCAGCATGCTCTCTATGGAGCTCTCTCCGGAAGTGAAGTCGCTACTGGTCCTTTCTAAGGTACCCATGAATTTGAAGGCTAAGACCCTCTTCCCGCAGTCACTGTTGATGTAGAGGGAGGCCAGGTCTGCGCTGTTCTTCCTGAAGTCGAAGATGATTTCCTTTGTCTTTGTGATGTTCAGTGTCAGGTTATTTGCTGAACTCCAAGCTGACAATCTCAGGATATCATCTCGTTTCCCCCCTCTGAGATGAGTCCAACCACCATAGTATCATAAGCAAATTTGATGATGGTGTTATTGGGATCGGCTGGACTGCAGTCATGTGTAGAGGGCAAACAGCAGTTGACTCTCAAAAGTGTCCAGTGATCAAAATCTATTGTCATTCTTTATCCACAAAACAAGCTAAATTGGTCGAACATTGTAAAAAGTACCTGTATATGTAATGTTCCATTCACAACTTTAGGAATAAAGAGTGGGGGTGGGGGTAATAAGGGTAAAACAATATATATAGGTCAATATGGACAAACAGAAATTGTATTTTATTTCATTGACATTCTAAGTAATTCAACATGATGTAGACAAAATAATGTGATAAAGCACTGTTTTTCAAATGCAGTACTTAAAAATAGACACCGCAACATGGGATTTATAATTTTGTTTTGGCAAATAAATTACCACAAAATAATTTAAGCAATTTCATCAAAATTTGCTAGTAAATTTACACTGAACCATGTGACCCGAGGAGAGCTGTAAAGTGATATTTTAATCAGGTGTATTAACATGGTATCAGTGCAGCTAACTGTAATCATGAAACCATTGATAACCAAAAAAAATTAAAACACATAACATTACCCTGTGTCAATAGTAATAAACAAACTTTTCAGTGAAATGGGAACGCTAGCTTCGATAGCTGGCTAAACTACCTTCGGTCATAACTATTAATTATGGTAACCATTAACAGCTAACGCTGAGCACATATAAAAACAAAATGATATAGTATATTAATGACAGGTAATGCATGAAATGTTTTTAAATATATATCTGTTATTTTATCAACATACCACTTAAAGTGCTTGGTAGGTAATAGAAATGAAATGTCAACGTTTGGAACTATTCACCGTCCCCATGACACGGGAGTTTGTCGGACTTTTCTCCGCCATTTTCTATAATGGGTCCCTATGTGAGTGACACCACTCTGTTTTTCTACCGCTCTGCTACACGTAATGTAGCATACGTACACTATGCAATAGTAATCTTTCATGTGAAACATGGTGATCACTGAGCAGTACATAGTCGTGTGGATTAAACAAAGCATCGAAGCAAAGAATTTGTCTTAATATGATGGAAGTGCGGCTGATTCTGTAACAGCTACTGAAATTATTTTGAGGGCTCAAAATGAAGCAGTGTCTGGAATAATAAGTTATATGAAATGTTAATAGAAAATACACTAAATGAAATGGCCAGAAATAAAAAATGAAGGTCGGCTCATTGCCGCTGAACCCCCTATTGTGCTTTTTATGATCTGTTCTGTGTATGAGAACCTATGTAACACTTTCCTTGTGCTCGTCATCAAAGGTGTAGTCATCTTCTGATCCAGACGGCGGGTTAATGCCTTTTCTTATTAGGAGAAAGTTCATTTTCCTCTAGGTGCTTGTTATTTTTGCCAAGATCCATGCAAGTTAGCAGATGGAGTGAAAATGAGAGCTCTTCTTGTAAAGCTAGGGTGCTTTTTTCCCCTTTTTACTCTGCGAGAAATTAATTTAACTGCTAGACACCCATTTTATCTAGGAAAAATGGTTCTGTACTAGCTGTCTTTTGTTGTGATTTTGTTTCACATGAATTCTTCTTAGGTGATTTTGGCTTTTTACGAGCTTGGTGAAGGTCGAAGAGATCTTGTGAATAATAAGTACAGAGACGGAGCTCCCAGGTGGATCAACAGCAGCAGCAGCCCGAGCTGGACATGGTGGCATGGTTTGCTCCCCCAAACTCCGCCCATGAGTGCCATTCAGTCACGCAGCCACTTCCTCCACTCCATGTAATCATCCAAAAACACTCAGGTCAGATTTTGCAAACTGACAGTATTTATTACATTCAACTATAAACCATAATTCAATAACTCAGGGATACTTAACCCTAGAATAACTATAATAACTTGCAGGTGAATTTACCTGTTAGGTAAAAATTGAGTTACATTCCCAAGATCTTCTTGGTGTGTAAGAAACAGCTTATGAAACAGCTTAGAATCCCTTTGGAATTTCTGTGTAGTTTGTTTATTTATTTATTTTACCATGTTTCCAACATATTTGCGTTCGGTATAACACAGCTGACAGATAGCTTTGGTCTTATCAACTATGCTGTCCGGTGTTGGTGTCATTTATTGGGAAAATGAAATGTACACAGATTATTAATTTAAGTGACTTTGGAGGGTCTTTGAGCTCTCTATCACTAGCTGTAACCAACTTACAGCCACAATCAACATAATGTTTTCGGTGTTGACCATCTACTTGTGAATTTAGTTTTTGCCCCTGTTAAGAAATGTATTCATTCATTTCATTGTGCATTACAAACCAAAAATGATGTAACTGAACAGCACATGACAAATATACAGCTCTTTTCTACTTTAAATGTAGACCTAAACTGCATATTGAAGTACATATTGAATCATATATATGTATAAATATGTATGTGTGTGTGTGTGTGTATATATATATATATATATATATATATATATATATATATATATATATATATATATATATATATATAAAATGTAATAGAAAATATTGAATCTGGAGGTCTCTGCCGACTCCCACCGCTACTGGGTGGGATGCCTAGAGCTACACCCTACATTTAATTTAAAGTACTTTTAATCTCAGGGGAAAATAGGTTTGTCCCAAATTTTAAAAAAAGAAAAAGTTCTTCAATGCTGCTCTGTTTAATGCCCTTTGTTTGCCGGTAAAGATGCTTAGGTATTACTGTCCATCACTGCTGATCTCCTCTCACCGTTTTTATCTAGGACAGCTGTATTCAGCAGTGAGATTAGCTTTAAGATGTGCCCCCATTTTAAGTAAGATTATTCTGTAGTTCGGAGAAATGTTTGAGTTATGTTTTAAATTGTTTATATTGGTGTAAAACTATGTCTTTTATGTCAGTCAAAGTGCGTTGGCTTTTCAAAACCTTTCCCAGTTACCACCCATGTACAGTATTTGTTGAACTCACCACAGATACATGAAATGGGTGCAGGCTCCTGAGCAGAGGTTTGGGGCCTAAAGCTTAGGTGTTCTAGACAGAACAGCAGAAATTCTTCTTACTCTTTTTGAGCAAATGTAGACTTATTGCCCAGATAAATAGCTTCAAATATAATTTTATTTGGCGGCCTAAACTATCTAAAGGGATTTTGCAATCTTTCTGCAGACTATTGCAAGAGGGGAGGAAAAATCTTGGCTTACATAAAAAGAAATGCAATATGAACTTGAAGGAAATGTCAAAATATCAAAAATATTTATTGAAGTTATACTATGTCTAGCAATATGTCAAGGTGATCTCATGGTATTCCAAAGGACATGTTATATTATATACAATGGTGGACATGAATTTTTGTAATGTTCACATATTATTAGGTTAAAGAAATAATTCCTAAGAAATGTATGTATGATTTTTACTGTGCCTTAACACCATCTGAATGATCACCCTCTATGCAGTCTTGAATCCTGCTTTGATTAATATAACAGTGTCAATAATAAACTAAAAGCCCAAAAGTAATTAACAAGCCATTGACAAGCTGTTTCTTTCGTCTTGAACAGTGTGTTCTGTGCTTTGGTGCTTATGGGATACTCGGTGGCATGTGGATCATAATGTTTCAATGAAAGATGTCAACCTGCCAATAATATGAGGTATAAGTCAAACTGGTGTGGTGTTAGGGCTCTGTGCCTGTGACCAGAAGGTTGCTGGTTTGATTCCTGTGGCTGGTATAGTGATGTCACCATAGGCCCTGGAGCAAGGCCTTTAATCCCAGTTGATCCAGGGACTGGCTGAACCTGTGCTCTGATCTTCAGTTGTACAGTATGTCACTTTGGGGAAAAATGCAAATGAGTGCAAATATTGCAAAATACTGAGAGAAGAGTGTTCTGGTGGTAGTCCTGATCACATGCTCAAACAGAGCTTTTCATCACTTTAATCATTTAATGCAGTTTGCATGCTGGTTGTGTCGCAGGCACACGTTCTGGCAGTACCGCAGGGAGAACCCCAAGACTAAAGTCGGTGACCCCCCTCCAGATGGCAAACCAGGCTTCAACAGTGGAGTGATGCTCCTGGACTTGGAAGCCATGCGGCAATCGACTCTCTACAACCGACTTCTGGAGCCAGAGCAGGTGGCCAAACTGGCCGACCAGTATCATTTCCGGGGTCACCTCGGCGATCAGGACTTCTTCACAATGATCGGCATGGAGTACCCAGACCTGTTCCACGTCTTGGCCTGTGGCTGGAACCGGCAGCTGTGCACTTGGTGGATGGATCACGGCTACGGGGACGTGTTTGAACTCTACTACCAGTGCGTGGGACCCATCCATGTTTACCACGGCAACTGCAACACGCCCATTCCTGATGACTGAGCAGCACTAGTGTCCTAGTCAGCCAAGCAATTCCAACGTCTACAGATGTTAATTTCTGGAGAATAGCATGAATGTGGCCTTCGAGCAAAAGGAGGCAGATGTCCCAAAGTATCCCCAATTGGTCTACTGATGAAGTCTTCATCTTCCGAAAAAAGAATGTGATATTTAAGTTTTGTGTAGGAGTTCGTAAAGTGTGGACTAATTAAGGATATCCTTCTGTAAAATAGTAAGTAATACAGGGGGGAAGTGCAAGGGATTAAGTGTGAGAAAGGGGTGCTCTGGGTCTGCTTTGAATAATCACAAGCTACAGTGAGCTGGGGGGTGAATACTGAAATGATTAATTTCCACTTTTTTAACATCAAATGTATTTTGTTCCTTGTCTAGCATTGAATGTTCTGAACAAAAGCAAATTGGCATGTGGTATTTTGGTAGCTAATTGAATAAAATAAACTGGCCTCTGTTTATGTAGATGACTTCAGACTGTCCACCCAAACGTGCCAGCAGTTAGTGTGGCATTTTGTCACATGTGATTTAATGCAGAATTATGTGGTTCCAACCATGGAACAGGTTCCGCAGTTCTCTTCTAGACTATTTTGGAACTAAGGCAGAAAAAACAATTCTAGTTGTGTCAAATAAACCACAATATAATTAATTGATCTGTGAGTTTATACATAGGCAGGTGGACTGAGGTAGTAGCTATACTTCTGTGTAGCAATAAAAATGCAGAATAAAGCAAAATAAATGCAGAATTGGTGAAAGTCCTGAATTCTAAAGAAAGCGGTTGAACAAATGAGGCTGGATGAGTGGAAAAATCATGGCCAGTATTAAGCTAAATCTACTTTATAGTTTGGTCATAATGTAAAACAGGATGGTTTGCAGAAGCAGGTAGAAACTTGTGGGAATTCTGCTTAAAATTGCTGCATATCTGCAAGTACTGCTATGAGGAAATGATTCATCTTTACAAAACCAGAGATCATATACGAAATCAGAGATATAACTACTCTAGTATCTACGGATATCTAAAGAGTAGGCTACATGGAATTATGTAGTAGCCACAATGTTGTCATCCCCAGTTAAGAAAAAGCCTGTTTTACATTCATGTTTATCTCTACATTTACTAAGAGATAAACACTATATCTTAGAATGAAGTCTAGTGACTACTAGATATTACGTACCATGCAATGTAGTTATGGAACTTATTATATTAGGCTGGCCATGCTTCAGTAAAATTACTCAAGATAGAAGGGGTAGAAGGTTAGGAACTTCTCAGCAGCTGTTTCTAAGGTCTTCATTTTCCAACTTTAGTGTTTACAGTTACTCTAGTCTACAGATGGTATGTTGACTTGTGTCACTTAACCCTGAAAGCCGTACATATGAATGCTGCTCAATCAACACTTATCCCAGTAATTTATGCGCTCTTAATGCTTGTTTGGGTCCCTACCTAAAAATGGTCTTATCACTAAGACTTGTTACATGTGGAAAAACCGACCCAACATTGGAAGGTGCAGAGAAAACCCATTCCAGGCCATCAAGTGACTTTTCATTGACGTCTCAGTATTATTCTGCAATGCACTGGCACGGCAGTCGGCATGATGTGTGCATTCGCTGCTGTGAGCCAAGTAATCTCCAAAGAAAAATGCTGGTACATCTATCTTTTGTGAAGACTCTCTGAAGGACAATGATGTATCAATTGAGAAAATTTGCAGAAACGTGTCTTATTCAAAAAATGTCCACGTCTGCGGTTGATAACAAAATGCTGTAAATGGAATGAATGATGGATGTGAATAATTCTCCTTTTTCTGTCTGTACCTTCTGTTTTCTACCTTCCTGTCTTTCTTTTGTGCATAGTAAAATATTTTTTTTTTGTTCTCTTAAAAATAAAATTTCCACACATGCTAAATTCACAATGTTATTCACGTTGGCTTTGGATGATATACTTCTGTCTAAATCGGGTCATAATGGTGCAGAGTACAGCAAAATCAGCTCATTTAATGCAATGTTGTCTGTGTCTCTTTTTTATTAAGATGTCATTTCCTGGAGGGGGTAACTACTATGTTTTTCCATTTCCAAGTGTTTAAGGTGCACTACATAAAACAACATATAATCGTGTTCTATAAAATCATTCTTCATGGAAACCTGAGGCAGAATATGTCTTCAGGCTACTTACTATGCAGGCTTCAGCAGGAGTGCATGTGCTAGGCAATACAGGGCAGAGGGACACCATATCTGCTGATCCAGCACATGGTCAAGCAAAGCCCACAGCTTATCTCAGGAGGCTCAGCATGAGAGATGGGACACTGAGCTGGACTGCAGTGTAGAGACACCAGTGTACTTACCTCAGTGTCTTTGTACTGTGTAAGAGAACCAGGACACCTAGAGGAAACCCACGCAAGATGAGGAGATCATGCAGACTCCACACAGACAGAGCCGGGGGTGGGATTCAAAGCCCCAGTCCAGCAGCTGTGAGGTTATCGTGCTGAAAAGCTCTCCTACTGCCTGGGGTGAAATGTCACTCGCAGTGAGCGCGACTAGAGGAACCAGAGAGAAAACTGTTTCATTTTCCATTTCTTTTTTTTTTGACATTGTTTGATTATCTTTTCCCTCTTGTTCATACAATGCATTCACTCTTAATTGTCACAATTTACCTGTATTTAAGAGGCTCTAGAGGCTGAGATGTAATAGTTAGACTCCTTTTATTTCATTCAGTTTGAGTTGCCAGAAGTGCCCTGACGTTTGCGGACGAGTCTTTCCATAAGAACATAAGAAATTTACAAATGAAAGGAGGCCATTCGGTACATCAAGCTCATTTGAGGAGAACTCAACTAATAGCTCAGAGTTATTGAAATATTATCTAGCTTCAATTTAAAGGAACCCAGGGTTTTAGCTTGCACTACACTAGCAGGAAGACTATTCCCTACTCTAATTGCACGCTGTGTAAAGAAGTGCTTTCTGAAATCCAGTTTAAAATGTTCTTCCACTAATTTCCACCTATGGCCATGAGTTCTTGTATTTGTACTATTATTGAAGTAACTATTTGGTTGAACGGCATCCAGACCTATTAGAATCTTATAGACCTGGGTCATGTCCCCCCTTAGTCTCCTTTGCTCGAGGCTGAACAGATTCAGCCCAGCTAACTTCTCTGCATAAGACATTCCTCAAGACCAGGAATCATTCTTGCAGTCCTATGTTGAACCCTTTCTAAGGCATAAATGTCTTTTTTTATGGTAAGGTGACCAAACATGCACACAATATTCTAGATGGGGTCTTACCAACTAATTGTATAATCTTAGCATCACCTCCCTTGACTTAAACTCCATACACTAGAGATGTAACCCAACATCCTATTGCTTCCCCACACTGGCATGAGTGGAACATGGAAGCATCAACATACACACCGAGGTCTTTCTCATAATCAGCTACCTTTATTTCAGTGGAACCCATAAAATATCTGTACTTTATATTTCTGCTCCCTGCATGGATTATCTTACATATGTCTACATTAAATTTCATCTGCCAGGTTCCAGCCCAGCCTTTGCAGGGCTCTTGTCTTTTCTGCAGCCCAAGACGTGTCTCTGGCCCTGGGGGTAATGCCCTCTTGCTGCAAGGAAGACTACAGTTTGCCCCATTTTGAGATCTTGATTTTATTAGAAATTATTATTTTGTAATTGCAGTTATATATTTCCACTTTAACATGGTGACTTCAATATGGTACAAACCTATTTTAGTCTCATGCTCTGCAGTCTCAATAATGACAATATCAGTAAAAGACTTGCGCAAAGAAAAGTGAAAATGTCACTAGGTGATACACTTGTCAAAAAATATAGAAGAACCAATGTCACCCTGTGAGATTGCTTATTACAGAGGAGACATTTTGTACCAGCATGTCGAATGTTGGTACTCACTGGCAGTTATTCATCTTTAAAGCACTCATAAGTTAAGAGCTAACATATTAGAGTAGTTTCAGTACTAAACACGATTAACGGTTAGTTATAATGAAATGAATTGAACGCAGGATTTATGAGGCGACTTTGACCCATTAGAATGTACAATTACATGTAAGAACATAGGTCAGGAAGAAATAGAGGCTTTACATGTGTTACACAGGCTTTATACTTTATATAATAATAATCAGGACCAGAGTGACTGCAGACTGGAAGAAACTTTTGAAGCCTGCTCCTTCAAATGGCAAACATATACTGATATAAAAGTACATTACCAACCACCTTTATATGAAAGGATGTGCAATGTCAAAGAACATAAGAAATTTACGAACGAGAGGGGGCCATTCGGCCCATCAAGCTCGTTTGCGGAGCACTTAACTAATAGCTCAGAGTTGTTAAAATCTTATCTAGCTCTGATTTAAAGGAACCCAGGGTTTTAGCTTCCACTACACTAGCAGGAAGACTATTCCATACTCTAACTACACACTGTGTAAAGAAGTGCTTCCTCAAATTTGTTTTAAAATGTTATCCTGCTAATTTCCACTTATGGCCATGAGTTCTAGTATTTAAACTAATATTGAAATAGCCATTTGGCTGAACAGCATCCAGACCCGTTAGAATCTTATTGACCTGGATCATGTCCCCCCTTAGTCTCCTTTGCTCAAGGCTAAACAGATTCAGCTCAGCTAACCTCTCCTCATAAGACATTCCTCTAAGACCAGGAATAATTCTCGTAGCCCTCCATTGCCCCTTATCTACGGCAGTAATATCCTTCTTAAGGTATGGTGACCAAACCTGCACACAATATTC